TCGTGCTGCAACAGAGACTCCACAGCGGTCCACGGCTCGCCTTCCCGAGCTGGAGAAACCAGGCTTAAAATCAATCAGAAGGCAAGCACGACTTCTTGATTGTACACTTCTATCAGAGCATGCCATGTGCTACTGCTGTTGCCTTGCCTACTCTAAGGACACCAGATGACAAGAAGATTACGTGTTGCAAGAGGATGTGTGTGCACAACTTCAAATCCAACCTTCAGCGTGTGCAGGAATTGCAGGCCATGCCGTCGAATTTCTGTTGTTGTACCCGATCTGAGACCTCAGGACTTCTGATTCTTTTCAACAATGACAGGAGATCCGACAGAAGTTGAACTCCGGGACGGCCGAGGAGGCAAACCGCTACATTATGGGGCTGCTTCTTCGCATGAAACCCGAGAAGGACGAACTGAAGTCGTACTCCCTGCTGGGTTCGTCTGTGTGCATGAGTGCCTTTTGCATCCTTCTGGGCATCAACGAAAAGAGAGCTCCCTGTCTCCGAAGTGCTCTGCATGTTGTTGCTCTTCACATTGCTGAGTGACAAAATTAAATCGCAACTTCAGAATACAAGGTCCTGCGATTGCGGCCGGGGGCCGGCAACAACTCCTTGCCTGTGGACAAGCGGCAGTACAATGGCAAGACTGCAACGAAGACCCCGTCAGTGGATGCCTTCATGACGTACTTTTACTGGAATCTCGTGTCTAGTCTGCAAGCTATCATTGGCCGCATTGGTCATTAGATATGAATTTTGTCAGCAATGCATGCAAGGCGGAACCCCTCGCGGAGACACCGGTGGAGACCATTGACAATGCAGCCTTCACTGCCAGTGGGCTTTTCCTGCCAGGAGACACGTCGTCCGAGCTTCCCTTTTCGCTCTACGGGCAGGCCAGTGTCTACAATGCCAGCAGCATGCGAGACAATCCTGTCGCGGCGACTGAGCTGCTTGCACCTGGCAAAGGCGAGAGAGGAGGTTCCCAGGCTTAACCGTCTACAGCAGGAACGACGACAACAGCAGCAACAACA